ACAGACAATGAAAATAAGATCGAAGGTAGAGAGAGAGAGAGAGATAGATATAGATATAGATATAGAGAGAGAGAGAGAGAGAGAGAGAGAGAGAGAGAGAGAGAGAGAGAGAGAGAGAGAGAGAGAGAGTAGCCCAAATACAGATATCAATAAGAACATATAACAACGAACCTAAAAGAACAAAAACAAATACAAATCGAAGAAAAACAAAACGAAACAAACTGGAACAAACAAACAAAACACCCACACAAGACAAAAGTAATCGAAAATTCCCACACAAATTCCAGCACAATACATATCCACGTTTCCAAACAGATAACGAGGGACTTTTATAATTGGCTGAACAAGCTGTTTACAATAGTCCGCTCGTAGCCCCGGGGGAGAAGCCAAGGGACAGAAGGAGGCGGCTGTCAGCGTAATGTCGGCATCGCATTCGGACACGTGACACTGCCTCTGTCTGCAAAACTCGCCTCATCTGTCATTCGCAAAAAAAAAAATCTGTCATTCACAAAGACAGAAAGAAAAGAAAAGAAAAAAAAGAAAAGAAAAACACGTAGGTTTATGCACGTGATGAAAAACCTAGGAATGCCGACCTTCTTGTCAATCGGTCCTCGTATAAACATCAGGTGGTATTATTTCCTGTGTGATCTGCGAAACTTAAAAAAGACGTAGGTTTATATGCGTGACAATATGTGTATAACAACTGAGCTAGGAATAACGACCTACATATTAAACAGCCCTTCTATAAACATCAGATGCCACTGCCTCACCTGCGATTCCGCGAAACCTAAAGAGACGTAGGCCTATGTACATGAAAAATGAATATAATAAATGGCTAGAAATTACCTACACGTTAAAAGGTCCTTGTATAAATACCAGGTAACACTGTCTCGCCTGTGATTTCGTGAAACTGAAAGAGACGGAGGTTTAGTCTGTCAGAAAACTTACTTAACAACCGCCTAGGAATAAGATCTACATGTTAAACGCATAAATAACCAGGTGACAATGCCTCTGGTCTGTGATTTACGTTACTTGAAGCTATGTATGCCTACGTGCGTGAGATAACCCCATTAATAAACAGCTGAGAAGAAGAAGCTACATGTTAAAAGCCTACATATCAAAATCCTCTTTGTGTGTAGGCCTAAATATCAAAACACCGCTGCCTCATCTATACTTGGCTAAACTTCAAAACACGTATGGTGATGCGGGCTACTAAACCTTCATTAATTATAAAGCTGGTTGTATTTGCTTTATGGTTTACAAATACCGACAGAATACCGAAGCTATATTATGGGAAATTCCACGCGCAACACACACACACAAACAATACACACACACACACACACACGAACCGACAGCATATGGACATCCTTGCAATGTCCCCGCGTACGAACTGCAGCGAACCGGGAGCGGGCTGCACAAACAGACCGACTACAGCTCTCCGAGGGCTCCAAATCGCGGCTAGACTTTAGGATCTCGAGGGGCCTACATACTAGCAAGTACTATGGGCTCCTCGTCAAGTTAGCTCCTAAAAGATTTCATTAAGGAGCGATGCTAGCCTGGAGACATCCTACCTGTGGTTCCTAACCCGCCTTGAAAGAAGCGACGGAGTTTTTGGCCCTTATGCTTATCTGTCGTTGAGCCCATTTTGGACTGTCGTTGCGTGGGGTTGCATGTGTCTCTCTTGACGCTGACTTCAGGCGGATGTGTCATTAATAAGATCTTGATGAACACTGCTATGAACTCGCCACATGACAAACACCGTTATGAACACTCGGGCAGGTGAACAAGAGATTCCAAGAGGAATTCCAAGAGAGAGAGAGAGAGAGAGAGAGAGAGAAGAGAGAGAGAGAGAGAGAGAGAGAGAGAGAGAGAGAGAGAGAGAGAGAGAGAGAGAGAGAGAGAGAGAGAGAGAGAGAGAAGAGAGCGAGAGATTTTGGCTGGTGTGAACTCCCCATGGTATTTTCACCAATGCCACTGCTATGAGATCTCTCAAAACTCCCTAAAACACACACAGAAAAAACGTACACATAAACAATAATAACGACCATACCTGCAAACGCACTCACACACACGTCCAAAGACTAAAAAAAAAACAAAAAAAAAAAAAAAAAGGAAAAGAAAAAGAAAAGGAGAAGAAGAAGAAGAAAAAAAAAAAAACGATTAAAAGAATGCTGATCCCGCGGCCACAAACCACAGCCACGGATATTATATAGAATGATAACACCCGCAATTACACCTAATGACGAACATCCCTACTCAGCCCTCAAATGCAGATGCACCTCGTCATTCCTCCAGCCGGCGATTCAGCCCTTACGAATTCCTCGCACGGAGGTCTCCGCTGCGCATTTCTGTCCAACGGCCGGGGACTTGGCGCAAACCGAGGGTGGTTTGAGAGGGAGGGAGGGAGGGGGGGGGGGAGAGGGAGAGGGAGAGAGGGAGGGAGAATGGAGAGGAGAGGGGGGAGGGGGGGAGGGAGGGAGGGAGGGAGGGGGGGAGGGAGGGAGAAAGGGGGAGGGAGGGAGGAGAGGAGAGGGAGGAGGGAGGGAGGGAGGGGAGGGAGGAGAGGGAGAGAGAGAGAGAGAGAGAGAGAGAGAGAGAGAGAAGAGAGAGAGAGAGAGAGAGAGAGAGAGAGAGAGAGAGAGAGAGAGAGAGAGAGAGAGAGAGAGAGAGAGAGAGAGAGAAATTGAATAAATGCTTCCCTCGGAGCCTTCACATCAGATTAGCACGGCAATAAACACTTGATATTATAAATAGAAAATGAAACAAAGGAACACACAAGTATTGTGGTATCTCTAATATGCATTTAAAATTAACACGGTTTTAAGTAATCCTATCTCTATTAAGATAAAAGAACCATAGCTATATCGGTATACTTTGACCCCAAAAATGAGTTGATATATTCAAAATGAGTATGCCATTAGCCAGCATCATAACCGATTGATAGCAGAATCCGTTTGTGTTTCTGAATCAGAATGAACACTAAATACATTCAAACAAATCTATAAAATGAATTATTACATAGATTAACCATCCGTTAATATATTTAAGTACCTCGTTACGTAATACCATAACTTAATAATAAACAAAGAAAAAACACATTAGTACTGCCCATCGCTACGTATGAATGGACGTGAAATTGTGTAATAAAGTAAAGCAATAAACGAGTATGTAATAAAGACGAAAAATACCAAAGTAATAAGACGATAACGTGAGATTCTCGAAACATTCGCAACTTCCCAAAACCCTTTTCATAATAATCATTAATAACATCATAAATAACGTCATGTTTGTTAAAACTGTGTAAGGCGCGACCCAATGAATATTCACACATTCGGACATCCATATTCACAGAAATAAATGCATATCTGTCAACCTGACTGATAGAGATACGCTTTATCTATATATCTATCCGGTATATATGCATATCTAGAATGAGAGACATGCATCCATTTCCGTGTATTAGCATGACCGTGTAATGAATATTTATTGGCTTGGGACGCGTACAATTTTACCAAACCGGCTGTATATAATTACTAACTACCAGAGAAGAAACAAAGGAAATAAGAAAAAAAGAAAATAAACAAAGAAAACACACGAATTAACCATACAAGAGATAAATAAAATAAACACAATAAAAACATAGCGGTAGGACTATAATGTTTGGTCAATGTTTCCCTCATAATCACAAACACACATTCCGGGCTAACAATGTTTTCTAAATTAACAAATACCTCATTAGGCCATTAAGGACAGGTAGTTAATTGGTTAAGTGGGCGCGGTGATTACCTCAGTCCCTCGTTATGTAGTTACGCCATGCCCGGGCCAGATGACCAATCAAAAGGACTGTCAGCGTTAGTTCGGGAGCCAATCAGAAAGCGAGGATGGCGTCTCACAACCCCCGCCTTTTGCTGAAGTTATTTTATGTATGAGAAACGTCCACTTATATCAGTCTTTTTTAGTTCTTCCCTTTTCTACTTGTTTAATTATTATTATTATTTTATATTTTTTTTTTTTTTTTTTTTTTTACTTGCATCATGTTTCTAGATTATATATTCTCTCTCACTAGCTCTCCCTCCTTCCCTCCCTCCCAATCTCTCTCTATCCCCTTTCCTTCTTCTCTCTCCTGCCTCCCTCTTCCCCTCCTTCCCTCCCTCCCCCTTCCGTCTCCCTCTTCCTCTCTCTCCGTCTCCCTCCCGCCCCTCTTCTTCCTCTCTCTCCATCTCCTCTTTTTCCTCTTCCCTCCTCTCATTCTACCTATCTCTCTTTCCGCCCCCCCCCTCCCTGGAGACTTAGGGTGTGTGTGTCCCGCCCACAATCCCTCTGCCCTTTGCCCAAGCCCCGCCTCACGCCCTCAGGATCAGGGCGTGGAAGAAGGGCGTGATCCCAATAATAAACGAACCAATTTGCCTTATCGGATACAAATTATGGGTAAGGATATGAGGAAAATTAAATGAGGAATTTAAAATATGAGGAAGTGGATATGCGTCGTGTACCTGCATTATGGATGTATGTCCGGGCGCACGTACATACATACATACATACTATACATACTACATAGTACATACATATATACATAAATACCATGGTACGTACATACATATATACATACATAATTACGTACATGCATACATAAATACATGCATGCATACTTGCAAATTGATAGATGTACAAATATATAGGTATACTGATAGACAAACATAGATACAGATATACAATGTGGATACAAGACACATAAACAGCTCTTGGTTAAAACCAAGAAATATTAAGAAAAAAATTAAATGTACAAAGGGGAGGCAGAGAGAGAGAGAGAGAGAGAGAGAGAGAGAGAGAGAGAGAGAGAGAGAGAGAGAGAGAGAGAGAGAGAGAGAGAGAGAGAGAGAGAGAGAGAGAGAGAGAGAGAGAGAGAGAGAGAGAGAGGAGAGAGAGAGAGAGAGAGAGAGAGAGAGAGAGAGAGAGGAGAGAGAGAAGGGCAAAAACCAAGATAAAATGACCAGTACCTTCACAACACGATGAACCGTCGTGTACAGTCGCCACTCCAAGCGTACCTGGAAGAAGAAAAATAAATAAAGTTTGCGAGTTTAGTTATTTTTTATCGTTGCAATTCTAGATCAGAAGTGTTCAAATCAAATATAAAACTACTATATTCTGTATAAAAAATAACAGATAACAAAGACGTCAAACAAAAGAAAACGAAATAACAATCACAGAGGAATATCCGAATAAACCCTGAAAAGGAAACAGTTGACAAGACAATGAAAGATGACAAAAAAAAGATAAAAAAAAGTAAACTGAAAACTTCCTGTAAAGAAATCTGCATTAACACCGATCTAAACAACGTTAAGCCGAAGAAGACAACAAAGTCATAAACAACAAACAACTACGAAAATGGCAACAGAGCAACAGCAACATTAAATCGAAACAAAGGAAAAAATACAAGCAAATCCTGGAAGCCAAAGAAAACGAAAGGAAATAAAACAAACACATCACCCCTCATTAAAAAAAAAAACGTTTCACGGAAACAAAAACAAATGAGAATTTTTTTTCTGGAAATCGAAGAAAACGAGTCGGAAAAAGAAACACAAAACGACACTTCCCGTCAACGTAATAAATGAGAATAAGAAAATAAACAAACAAACCGTTTCCTGAAAGCCCCCCCCCCCAAAAAAAAAAAAAAAAAAAAAAAAAAAGCTGTCTCCTGAACAAACAAACAACCCCCCAAAAAACAAAAAAAAAAAATAATAAATAAAAAAAAACGTTTCCTGGAGGCCTACAGAAAACGGATTCAAACGGCCCGCAGAAAACGACACTTCCCGCCTTTATTTCCCGCGCGCGCCGTGAGAACAGGAACCGCGGAGGAAGTGGTCTAACCTTAAAAAGGAAATATGTAAATGAGACTTTGCATACATGAATAAATTCCTGATGAAGGGCTGGAGAGGAAGAGAATGAAGGGGGGGGGGAGACTAAGTGATGTGATACCTATCTTTCATCTTAATGTGCTTGTAACTGGGTCAGCTGGAGCCCTGCCGAGGGGGTCCGCGGCGGTGAGAACGAGGGGAATGAGGGAGGGAATTTCTCTTCTTGTCTCTGCAAATATCTGTGTAATCATATCAAAAACAGTCGGGCATACACATATGCAGCATATATAATATATATATATATATATATATATATATATATATATATATATATATACACACACAACACACACACACACACACACATTACACACACACACATGTGTGTGCATCTATATATTTGTACACACACACAACACACACGTATACACCGTATACACAAATACACACATACCCCCACCCCACATAAGCAAACACGTACACACGCAAACACAACGCACACACAGCAAACAAACGCACGTACACACAAGAACACATCACACAAAACACACGTAAACAAACCAACGACAAACACAAACACGTACAACAAAAACACATACATACACTTACACAACAAACAAACACAACACCGTACACACAAACGAACAAACACACGCTCGCACACGGACCCAATGAGGCCACACGCAGCGCCCCTGCTAACAAGCGGAGAAGTTAAATTTTTCATTCATTGCCCAACCGCTGTGCCCCGTCTATCACAGTCTATTTAACCTCACCATCCGACCCTACATGAGATTCTAGAGATGATGGTAATGAAGTAAATTAGGAGGAAATGCAGCTAAGGGTTGTAGCGTTAATTATGTAAGGTTAGTTGAATAGAGTAATAAGAGAGGAGGAGGGAGGGGAGGGAGGGAGGGGGGAGAGGAGAGGGAGAGAGGGAGAGGGGGAGAGAGGGAGGGAGAGGGGAGGGAGGAGGAAGGAGGGAGGGATGAGGGAGAGGGAGGGAGAGAGAGAGAGAGAGAGAGAGAGAGAGAGAGAGAGAGAGAGAGAGAGAGAGAGAGAGAGAGAGAGAGAGTAAGGAGAGAAGGAGAGAGAGAGAGAGAGGAGAGAGAGAGAGAGAGAGAGAGAGAGAGGAGAGAGAGAGAGAGAGAGAAGAAGAGAGACGAGAGAGAGAGAGAGAGAGAGAAGAGAGGACAGAATGACACAGAGACAAAGACAAAGATAGAAAACCAGAGAAAATATTTACATAGAGAGCGCTCCGAGGAGAGAAAGAGAAAATTGAGAGCGAATGCATATCAAGTTCTCTGCGCGGCCGGATGTCAACCTCCCCTCCCTTCTCCCTCGCCCCTCCCCCCTCCCAAAGCCTCTTCCCCTCCTCCCCCCCCCCTCATCCCTTACCACTTCCCGATCTTCCTATCCCGCCCTCCTCCCTCACAACCCTTCATCCTTCAAACATTCCTCACTTCCCCATCCCTCCCTCTCATTTCCTCACCCCTTCCCTCACTTCCCCATCTCCCCTCCCCTTACCTCCCACCCCTCCCCTCTCCCTACTCCTCCCTCTCCCATCCCACCCCTCCATCCCACTCCTCACCTCTCCTCCTCGCCCCCTCCCTTTCCCTCCCCATCCCACCCTCACCCCCTTTCCCTCCTCCGCCCCTCCCTCCCTCCCCATCCTACCTCCCCTCCCCCTCCCTCCCCTCGGCGACACCTCAGCGCACGCCGTATCAAGCAGCCGAGTCCCCGAAACCTCACACCGCCTGAGAGACGGCAAACAAGCCCTTGTTTGATCTCACTGAAATGCGATATTTACTTGGCGACTTTGTGGCAAGTGAGAGAACAGCCGATCTGCGAAGAACAAACAGGAAGAACAAACACGTCGAATTTCTCGAGTGACTTCGGGGATATGATGATGGTTGTGTCCGTTGTGAACAGGGGTGTTGTTGTTGTTGTTGTTGTAATTTTTGTGGTGAATATGCTGTTGTTATTAACATCGTCATTCTCCTAATGAATATGCTGATGATATTATTGCTATTATCCTTATTGCCATCATTATTATTATATTATTTATTACTTTATTATTACTATTACTATTACTATTATCATTATTATTATTATTATCATCATTATTCTTATTCTTCAGATTATTACCATTATTATCACCATTATCACGAACATAAAAAGCGATCTAAAGAGAAAAAAATACACAATAAATCAATAAATTACAGCCTCAGAAAAAAGATAAATAAAACGAAGAAAAAAGAAACAAGAAAAATTCACTTCACAAAAAAAAAAAAAAAAAAATCGCTCGACAAACAGAGCTGATGAAACATTTCCGGGAGTTTTGTCATAAAAAATCCCGGCTGATCGTAAAGTCATGTTTGCTCTCTGTTTCCCTCTTCTTCTTCTTCTTTTCTTCTCTCCTCTTCTTCTTCTCCCTTCTCCTCCTCCTCTTCTTCTTTCTTCTCCTCCTCTTTTTCTTCCCCTTCCTCCTCCTCTTTTTCTTCTTCTTCTTATTCGTCTTCCTCCTCTTCTTCTTTCTTCTTCTTCTTCCCCCTTCCTCTCCTCCTCTTCTTCGTCTTCTTCTCCTTCTCCTCCTCTTCTTCCCCCATCTCTTCTTCTCTTCCTCCTCCTCCTCTTCTTCCCCTCTTTTTCTTCTTCTTCTTCCTTCTCCCCCTCCTCCTACTACTCTCTTCTTCTCTTCTTCTCCTCCTCCTCCTTCTTCTTTTCATTCTTCCTCCAAGAATTTTCTCTTCCTTTCCTTTCTCTCCTTTATCGGATTATCTCGTTTTCATTTTTTTGTGTTATATATACCGTATTATCTCCTTTTCATTCCCCCCCTTTTGTTTTTCATCTCTCTCTCTCTCTTCTCTCTCTCTCTCTCTCTCCTCTCTCTCTCTCTTTCTCTCTCTTTAATCTCCCGTTCTCTCCTTCTCTCTCTCTCTCTCTCTAAATGGCATGCCTTTGAAAAGAGTAGATAGATAGATAGATGAACAACTTATTGTATCCTCTTATTAACCTACAAAGGGGGGGGGCGAAAAAGATACCCTCGTCCTCGTCATCTCTTCACACCCATGCCCCCCCCCCTCCCTTCGCCTCCGCCATCGCCCGCCCCTTGTCAAATACCAGTAACAAGCGACAACTGCAATACAAAATAATGTACTGCAGATTTCCCCTGTCAACTCTCATTCTCATTCTCTCTCTCTCTCTCTCTCCACCTATCCCTCTCTCTTTTCTTCCTCCCTCTCTCTCTTCTCCCCCCTCTCTTCCACAGCCTTCTCTCTCTTTCTACCCCCCTTCCCCTCTCTCTCTTCCTTCCTCCTTCCCTCTCCCTTCCTTCCCTTCCCCCTCTCCCTCTCCCTTCTCTTCCTCCTTCCTCTCTCCCTCTCTTCCCTACCCCTCTTCCCTCTCCCCTCTCTTCCCTACCCTCCTTACCCTCTCCTCTCTTCTACCCTCCTTCCCTCTTCCCCTCTTCCCTACCCTCCTTCCTCTCTCCCTCTCTCCCTACCTTCCTTCCCTCTCCCTCCCTCTCTCTCTCCCATCTCCCTCTCTTCCCTTCCTTCCCTCTTCCTTTTCCTACCTCCTTCCTCTCTCCCGCTCTTCCATACCCCTCCTTCCCTCTGTTTCTTCCTCACTCCCTCTCTCTCTCTTCCCCTCTCCCTCTCTTCCTCTCGCTGAACGCCCACCGAAAAAATGTACAGTTAAGTTTCTCCCTCTCGCGACGGGCGCTTAACCTAAATCTCCCCGGCACTCGCGCGAGAAAATCAGGATACGTTAATTAGAAGAAAAAAAGGCCATAAAAAAGGAGAAAAGAGAGAGAGAGAGAGAGAGAGAGAGAGAGAGAGAGAGAAGAGAGAGAGAGAGAGAGAGAGAGAGAGAGAGGAGAGAGAGAGAGAGAGAGAGAGAGAGCAAGAGAGAGAGAGAGAGAGAGAGAGAGAGAGAGAAGAGAGAGAGAGAGAGACGAGAGAGAGAGAGAGAGAGATGGAAGAGAGAGAGAGAAGAGAGAGGAGAAAGAGGAAAGCAGAAAGAGAGGGAAAGAGAGGGGAAGAGCGAGAAAAGAAAAAAGAAGAAAAGAGAAAAAAGAAAGCGAAAGAGAGAGAGAGAGAGAGCAGAGAAGGAGAGAGAGATGAGAGAGAGAGAGAGAGAGGAGAGAGAGAGAGAGAGGAGTAGAGAGAGAGGAGAGAGAGAGAGAGCGA